GCTGGCTGAAACGCCACAAGGATGGCAAGTGGTACAGATTGCCCAAGGAGACGCCAGAAGTTCGGAAGATCATGGAATGGGCCGAATTGGTTTCCAAATCCATGACGGAGTTGACACTCCACGGCATCATGATCGGCAAGGCACTCCGAAACATCAAACCTCCACACAACACCACAGGCACCATGATCATGTGGCTTGCTGGTGGACGGAAATATTCAGTTCAACATCAGCCCAACTCCAACAACCTCAAGCTGAAGAAAATCTCCAACTTGGCTCAGGAGGACACATGCATGATTTACTTCTACTACTACAAGACGGCATCGATGGAGCCAAGCTCATCAGAAACCACTGGGACCAAGAAGGAGAAGACTTCCTCTACTTCAATCTCTCCAGACCTTGACAAGATGGATGTGGAACCACCAGATCGAAAGCGAGACAGCTCAGAAACCAGAACGGTAGTCATTGCTCCAGAGAAGAAGCGACAGAAGATAGCATTGGTCCGAAGAGATCTTAACTTCCTGGAGGACTTCTACATGGACCACACCAAGAACATGCTCATCATTCTGGACTACCCCAACTCTTGGAAGATTGGCTGCAACTTCATGACTCAGGAGATCAAGAACTTCCTGGTGAAGAAACACGATCAAGATCGACGAGCACTACCTGTCCTCTTCAACATCAACTACAAGACCGATCACCATGCATTGGCATGCCTGAGGACATCAGAGATCTACAAGGTGGACCAGGAGACGAACAACATCTCCGAGGCCGATCTGACTCCAGACATTTGGCCTGAAGTTGATAAGGCCGATCTGGCCGAGATCAAACAGTTTGTGGAGGAGTCAGCTTTCAAGAAGATCCACAAGTCGCAGATCACTTCAGAGATGGTCGTGGTTGACGCGATCTGGGTGCGGAAGAAGAAACGCTATCCAGATGGTAGCATCCGCATCAAATCAAGATTGTGTGCACGAGGATTCCTTGATGCACAAAAGTCAATGTTGACCACAAGATCTACGACGGCTACCCGTCTCAGCCAGCGATTGCTGGTTAGCTATGCTGCTCAAGATGAAGAGCGAGACGTGGAGTCTCTGGATGTTGGTGGGGCCTTCCTAAAAGGATTCAGCTTCCAGGAGATCCAGAAGGTGCTTCGAGAACAAGGACATCAAGCTCCTTCGAGAACAGTCATTTTGCTGCCTCCACTGAATGTGTACAAGCATCTTGCGTCTTTGTCAGACGACTTCAAGATCCCTGAGGCGAGCATCTTTGACTACGGTCTCCTATGTGTGAAGCCTGTGTATGGCCTCAACGATGCACCTTTGGCTTGGCAACTATGTCTCCACGACTTCATCAAGCATCACGATGGACATCCCTCCAAGATGGATGAGAACACTTTCATGTGGAAGAAAGATGGAGCTCTGGTAGCTTTGGCCACCACTCACGTGGATGACATCGCATTGACTGCGAGCAAGAACTGGCTGAACACTATGCATGGCCATTTTGTGAAGCGCTTCAACAAGATCACACGCCAGAAATTGCCCTTCAACCATTGCGGCTGTTTCTATGAGCGACTTCCTGATGGCTATCGCATCAGTCAGGCTGACTTTGCCAAGAAGCTTGAAAAGGTGAAGATTCCTGAGAAAGGAGACTCTGAGAAGCTGACGCCTGCTGAAACATCAAGTTTGAGATCTATCTTGGGCGCTTTGCTTTGGGTGACTGCCACAAGACTTGATGTGGTGGCAGATGTATCAATCCTTCAAAGCAGAGTGACAGTGGCTGAAATCCGAGACCTGAAGTATGCCAACCAGGTGGTCGACAAAGTGAAAGAGTTCCAAGATGTTGGACTACACTACCGCTTCCTGAAGACCAAGAACCTGAGATTTGTGTGCATCCATGTTGCTTCTTCAGCGAGTCAAGGACGCCACTATGCTCAAGAAGGACTTCTGATCTGCTTGACAGAAGACAAGTTCTACAACGAGAACCTCAACTATGAGACCATCTTCAATGACGGTGACGGCCCTGACGGCGTTGATCGCCATGGAGGAGTGATGCATGCGCTTCACGCCAGTGGCACAAAAGCCAAGAGGGTGTCCTACTCGACATCTCATGCAGAGACCCTCAGCATGATCAATGGCGTGGAGTCGAGCACTTTGATTTTGGTGCGACTTTCTGAACTACTACATCCTGAACCTGCACCTTCGCTCCTACAGCTCACCAAGATTCAGGAAGAGGGCAACAAGCTGATCCCTGTGGATTACTACGGCGACTGCCGTGATGTCTTCGAATTGGTGACTGGAGAAAGGACGCTTCCTCAAGACAAAGGACAGCGACTCTATGTGCTCTCCATCAAGGAAGCGAGGCTGATGGGTAAGATCAGAATGCTGACGCTGATCCCAACACAGTGTATGACAGCAGACAGCCTCACGAAGTCAATGATCCATGCAAGCATGCTCCTGCTCCTCACGACCGGCATCATCAAGTTCTTCAACGTGGACAAGCACCATGTCACTTCGAGGACTATGCCTTCAGTCAAGGACTACAACGAGCACGACCTGCTGAAGAACGACAAGCAGATGCTGAAGGAGATCAAGGAGAAACCGGAACGAGTGTCAGCGAGCTATGCGACAGTGCTTTGCGGCTTCATGCTCCAGGACAAGATGAACGCTCTATGTCTACTGGCTATGACGACATCGTTGCCTACGGCTACAGCTTTGGACGCGCGCTACATCGACGACATCGAGAAGGAGAACACCGCTCCGAGCATGCTCACCTTCTTCTTCCTGCTCTTCTTTGCAGTGGTCTTGGCGCTCTACCTGGAGAAGCTCTTCCGCTACATGCTGGACTATGCCCTGACGCTCCTACGCCGACGTTTCCGACGGCACTGGAAGGTGAAAGAAGAGACCGATGAGACAGCTCCGATGGATGTGGACTCATGGGAGCCAACGAAGACAGAAGAAGACTATGAAGCAGAAATCAGATCCCTCAAGAAGAAATTGCGAAAGCTGAACGAGGACAAGGACGAGCTCATGGTGACCATCAAGATCAAGGAGGACTGCATCAACAACCTGCAGAACGAGCTCAAGGAAAAGGACATGGAGAACATGTCCGGGGAAGACTTTCGTCAACGGCAAGAACGCCAAATTGACAAGCTTGATGTGGAGAAAACAGATGCTGAACGAGCTCGAGACCGTGCCCTGGACGAGATGGACAGAGTCACTTTCGAGCTAGCAAATGCTCAGAAAGAGCTTGTGAAAAAGGAGAATGAACTGGAAAAGGTGCGTGGTCGTTTCGACCGACTGGAGGAGAAGTACACCAAGCTGGTGGATGATCACGACGAATATCGTGAGACCATTGCTGCATCAGCACGGCACATCACCTACCTGCGAGAGCGATTGCAGCGCTATGAGACCGTGCATGCTGCTCCACCAGGAGTACGACAGATCGTGCCGAACAGCTCAACACCTACAGCTGCTCCAGCGCCTCCGCCGAGAGACACAGCTGCTGAGGAAGAAAAGAGAAAGATGCAGCAAGAGTTGCAACAGCTGCGAGAGGAAACGCAGAAGCTGAAAGAGGAGAATCAAAAGCTGCGCACGGACAAGACCTACAACACCAGCGAGATTGCCAGAATGAACCGGCAGTTGATAGAAGCCCGTGCACCTGCCACGGTGTATTTCACCAGAGGTGGAAGCTGCTATCACAATGATGGCTGCAACCACCTGAAGCATGGCAGAGACCATCGACCAAGATCCGAATTAAGGAAGTGCAAAGACTGCTTCACGTAGCAGAGCGGCATCACCATCAGAAGGTGACCGGAGTGAACATTTCTGGTCATATGGTATGCCCTTTCTTTCAGGTGTCACACACGAACGCATGGCCGAATCTGCAGGGCGCCTTTGAGCTATCAAACTGAGTGTAATCTAGTGAAGCGAAGTGAAGCGAAGCGAAGCGAAGCGACATCTGAACCTCGAAAAGTGGTCCGAACCCCTAGTGTTTTTTACATTTTGACTTCGAAATGTGCTTCGCGCCACAATAGCGTGCACTTTTTCGACATCTGAACCTCCAAAAGTGGTCCGAACCCCTAGTGTTTTTAACATTTTGACTTGGAAATGTGCTTTGCGCCACAACGGCGTGCACTTTTGCGACATGTCAACTTCCAAAAGTGGTCCAAACGTGGTGTGTTTTGCACATTTTGACTTGGAAATGTGCTTCGCGCCACAACGGCGTGCACTTTTGCGACATCTCAACTTCCAAAAGTGGTCCGAACGTGGTGTGTTTTGTACACTTTGACTTGGAAATGTGCTTCGCGCCACAACGGCGTGCACTTTTTCGACACCTCAACTTCCAAAAGTGCTCCGACGCTGGTGTGTTTTGTACATTTTGACTTGCAAATGTGCTTTGCGCCACAACGGCGTGCACTTTTTCATCTCTCATCTGGCCAGCTGGCTCCGCACCCGCCGCTTTAGCGAGCCTACTTTTCGACCCTCCGGAGCCCCAAATCATTGGAAAAACACAGTGTTTCGCGACTTTCCTACCTTTTCGCGCATCTGCATCTTCTTTCTTCTGACTCTTTCTCTTCTCTGATCTTCGCTCTTCTAATCTTTCTCTTCTCTCTGCCTCTGCCCTGCTCTGCTTTTCATCTGTCCATATTGTCGGAAGTTTGACTTCTAAACTTCCTTCGGTTATATAATATCACATATATATATATATGTATATATAATATCACATATATATACATATATAATATCATATATATATAATATCATATATATATAATATCATATATATATTACATATGTAATATATATATATATATATATTCATTCATGATGATTATATATATATATATGTATTATATTACAGAATAGTGTGTATATATATAATGTATGCATGTGTATTTATAAAGAGATACTTCTGAGATGATTGTGCTTGGTTTGGGTACTGTACAATCTCCAGATATCGCGCGTCCAGACCTTCGGACCTTCGTCCTTGTGGGAAGCAACGCGCAGGAAGATGGTCCAAGGTCACGTATTCACCAACTCTTCCACTACATCAGCTCCGTATGTGCATCTCGACACATCTCGATTTCAGACAGTGTTGCCAAAATTAAAGCCACTGGGAAGTATGACATCTATCAAGGTTCTTTGAGGTTTTTGAAATATGTTCAAGTTGGTTTGGACAATTCGGATGTGAAAAAGAGATAGACAGAGAGCATCGACCTAACAACATTCAGCCCTGTTTGTATGTTCAATCTGTCTGTTTACGTATACCAGTGTACGCTTCTGTCATCACGGGGGCATGTTGACGTGATGACGCCTGAATTATCAAAACTCGACTCCACCAGATGCATTCCGTTTTGAGCCGAGGGATCTTTGGGTGGCTTTGCCAACGTTTCTAGTGATGACGACCATAATAAACATCGTAAGAACAAGATGACAGCACTTATCAACACTGACTAGTGACTAGTCAGATGTGATGGTGATTCAACCGGATGAATTGCCACCGAGGCAATCTGGTCCCAGTCCGTCGCATTCAACATCTTTTTTACATTGGTCTCTCGTCATGGAATGCCAGGTAGAGCCACATCATATTTTCTTGCCCAGCGTCCAGGACAGCACCACAACATATCCCAAAGTAGTACAGCTGTAGTTGGCGTCATTGTAGATTACAGCTGTGGTAAGATTTGGAGGCTGGAGTAATACGAGTAATTTACTTTAATTTGCTCGTAATAGCTTCTGGGACAAGACGCCAAACTGCTGATGCCATCCTCAGGTCATCATCACCAATGCAATCTTCATGGGAATTCAACTGGATCTTTGGCTGATCCCCAGGGAGGCGACGATTTTTGTGACGTGTCACCGATTTTCGTTGCCTCCGGTTTCAACCCACCCACTGAGGAGTGGAGCGTTGCAAACATGGACATGTCAGTGAGAACATCATTTCTGTTGATCAGTTCCATGTGCCTGGGATGCAACCGCTGGGTGCGAGATCGACTTCAGGAATGCCTTGAGACGAAAGACAAACCACTCATATAAATACTCCAATGGACCAATGGACATGATCTATCTATCTACCTATTTGTTTATCCATGTATTTGTGTTTTTATGTATCATTATTTTTCTATTTGTTTATTATTTTTGATTGATTCAATGAATTAATCTATTTATTTTGTTGCTTTTTGTATCTGTAGTCTATAAGACTATATTATCAAAGGAAGCTGAGTTGAGAAACTATGGGAAACTTCTGAGTTACGGACAAATGCAATTGCAGCTACAATTCTACCTACTCTGGGAAGTTAACACATGAGGTTGTGGAAGCATTAGATAGGGAAGTGTCAGCGGGTGTGCGCAACTGGCAACAGTGCGCATGTGCGTGTGAGTTTGCAGGTGAAAGGAAGGAAGTGTGCCAAACACCGTGTTTTGCAGGTTTTGTGGCTTGAGTCGTCACCAAGGGAGGGTCTGTGTTTCTGCGGTTATAGGGCTTGGTGTGGGAAAGATGCGGGAAAAGTCCGCGAGACTGCAGCAAGAGTTCCGTTTGGATGAAGCATGCACAATTCGCATCAAGTCACCACAATCTCGGGCCGCTTTTGGAAGAGGCCGGGAAAAGGTGAATGAGACTAAAGTGATTGCGACGCACGGTTTTTGAACACTGCGATATAATGGGGAAACATTGGGAAAGAATGAGGATGTAAGGGGATAGTTGGTGCGGCCCACGGTGCGGCCCTATGCGGGATTGCAGCAGGGGCTTGCAAAACGCATGGGAACTGCTGCGCCGCCAGAAGGTGTTGATGTGTTGGTGTCTCCGTGCTATGTGGGCAGAAGAGCAGCTCAGAAAAGAAGTGGCACAGAGAAGGCGTAGCTCACAGTAGTAGAAGAAGCTCCAAGGAGAGTCGGTCCCCCAAAAACCTCAGACTCAGGGAAGATTTGGCCAAGAGAATCCCAGTTTGCCCAGAGAAAAGAAGAAAGCTCATTCATTCTGTCAGTCATCTTGAGTCCTTAGTCACACACTGTCGCATCCTTCCAGTGAGTCAATCAAACACTGATGTCAGTGAGCAGCCCTTCCGATAGACCCTTAATGTCCAGTAGCCACAGGGTATCATCGAAACTGCCGCCCTGGCACGGACTGGAACTACCTGGCATATGTGCCAGTATACATTTGACATACTTAGATGCATGACACTCGATACGCAGGAAAGCCCAACTATTTGAATGAATTGATAAAACATGGTTAAACCATATTAAACCAATTGAAACCTGAGATTTCCTCAGAAATGTCCAATATACTTCCAGCTGCTGTGCTGCCAGATACGCCCTGCTCTTCTCAGTGGAGATGTTCATCCGCATATGTGCGGTTGGCCCCCTGTCCTACTTCTGCAGCTCAGGTTTTGGCGGGGGCGGGTATGGCTGGTGATTGAGGGCTTCAAAAAAGAAGACAGGCGATTGGATTGATGCCGCATGAATATATTGGGATGTATCTGCCATGTGAAGTGGAATGCAAGCATTTTTCTTTGGAATAGAGCAGTGTTTGGTCATTCTTCAAAGCAAGTAGACACACACACACACTCACACACACACACAAATGCACCTTTCGATCCCGGGGGCGCTCTCTGGATGCCTGCGGCGTTGTTTTCAACCTTGGCAAAAGCTGAAGAAAGCGAGAAATA